CTTTCCCTCCCCCTTCCACTTCCACCACAGACTTACCAGCTGCACACAGCTCTCCACACTTCCGAGCTGTGCTCCTCGCTGCGCAAGTACTGTGTTGCAGCTGCGCGCACACAAGCATTTATTGGCCAAATTGTCAGCTGCATCAGGCCAATTTCCAATACGGCCAATTTTCTGTATATCAGACCAACATATCGGTGCACCTCTAAAGAGAAGCGCAGTAAAATAGATACTCTAATTATGGGGAACAGCAAGACCACAGCCTTGGAAGAAATACAGACTTTTAATGATGTAATCAGGTCATGAACTAAAAGGAACTAGAGACAGATAACCGAAGGAATAAAACCCCTTGGTGTTCCAAGTCAAGCTAGCCAGCATATCCCTCTGTCTAAATTATGTATTTGTCTGGACCCATTAGCCTGGTAATGGTTCAGTCTTCTGGCGTCCCATTTTACTGTAACAGCTCTTCACCCTAGGAGCCCCTCTGTCAGTGCATGTGAGTGTCCCCATTTTACAATAGGAAAATTGAGAGACAGAGACACCAGTGTCTAAGGTCCACAAAGGCAACTACACATCCAAATACCCTTGAGGGTCTGAGCTGAAGTGACTTGTCCATGGTCACCCAGAAGCCTGTGGTGGAAAGTGACCCTGGATTTCCCACGTCCCAGACTGGTGCCCTCGCCATGGGGCCATCCTTCCTCTGTATGGCCTCCGCTCTTTGAAACCCAGATACCTCATTTTTGAGGTATCCACACACTGCTGAGCAGTGCACCTGTAAATGGGGATAAAGTGCAATGGGATAATGACAGCTACTTTAGGAAGGAAGCCCAGGAACTCTGCACATATCCCAGGAGGCCAGAGCTCCCCAGTTTGGGACCTTCTGCCTAAAGGATACACAGCCTGCTCTGGAAAGACTGTGCTGTGCAGGGGGTCATAGACAGCTGCCAGGTCCTAAAAGTGACCCAGGACCAGCAGCGATGTGCACATAAGGGGCTCAGAAACTCACCGAGTGTGCCACATTGCAGGACTTGGGCTCACATTTAACAGCAAAGAATGTCAGGCATTCAACAGTTTAAAACAAAAATATTAGGCCCTAGCACTACCAACTGCCCCTGAAGGTCCAGGCTCTCCACACAGAGCATCTACTGAAAAGTAGGTGCAACCCCACAGAGTCATCACATGAAGAGAGGCTTCCCTGCAGTACCATGGGATGACTGCTTCTCTGCAATAATAAGGCCCCTCAGCTTCTGTCCCCTCCAGCTCAGCTATCCACCCACCAGAAGAGAAACAACGCTTTGTAGACAATGCCCTCATCCCCCTGCTTTACCTATGGCACATTAGGCTGTGCCTGTTATGCTTGGGCAATGTGTTTTGTAGCTGCATGACAGGGTTGTTTGCATAGTTTTAGGAATAGGTTAGACAAGGAATGGTTTGATAGTGATGCTGCTGCCTTGAGCAAGGGTTGACCTAGATCAGTGGCTCTCAACCTTTTTTGTACCAGGTCCCATTTGTAAGCATCAATGGCCAGTCCCAACTAAGTGCCCCTCGCTCCTGACCTGCTGCCCCCCAAATGTGTGGGGCAGGGGCTGGGCATGTGGGGCAAGGGGCATGAGCCCCCCCACAAAGCAGCCCCTTGCAGGCTGGAACTCCAACATCCTGCAAGGGAAAAGCCGTGGTTTCCCAAGTTTCTCTCTTTTAAAGGAGAATCCATTTTTTAAGTTTGTTCATGACCCTTTCATACATTGTTGCGACGCATTTTTGGGTCATGACCCAAAGGTTGAGAAACGATGGCCTAGATGACCTCCAGATATCCCTTTGCTTTTCTTCAAGTCCCTCTCTCATAAGCTCCAGGTACCCCTCACAGCCCCTCTCTGTTCATAGATTTCATAGACATTAGGGCTGGAAGGGACCTTGGAAGATCACTGAGTCCAGCCCCCTGCCCAAAGGGCAGGAAGTCAGCTGGGGTCATAGGATCCCAGCAAGATAAGCATCCAGTTCGCTCTTGAAGGTGTTCAATGTAGGCGCCTGAACCACCTCCAGTGGCAGGTGTTCCAGACCTTGGGGGCTCGGACAGTAAAGAAATTCTTCCTTATGTCCAGCCTGAAATGGTCTTGTAGTAGTTTATGACCATTCGACCTAGTCGTCATCCCTAGGGGTGCTCTGGTGAACAAACGTTCCTCCAGATACTGGTGGCCACCCCTGATAAACTTATAGGTGGCCATCAGATCACCCCTGAGCCTGCGCTTTTCCAGGCTAAAGAGCCCCAGGGCTCTCAGCCTGTCATCGTAGGGTCTGCTTCCCTGACCTCTGATCATGAGCGTGGCTCTTCTCTGCACTCTCTCAAGCTTCTCCACATCCTTTTTGAATTGTGGAGCCCAAAACTGGACACAGTACTCCAGCTCCGGCCTCACTAAGGCCGAGTACAGGGGGAGAATGACGTCC